GAGCCTTGCTAATGTTGTCCACCTGAAAGATTACAAATGACAACTCTTTTTTAACCTCTACTTAACCATTTCAATCATAGTTTGTCCTATTGGAACTGGAATAAAAGATCAGTAGGAAATTCATTTGTCAAAGCTCAAGGATGACTGTAACTTACAGTAACATCAGTAAAAGGAGTAGCATCCCCTTCCTTGCCCATGTGGGCAGCAACCTTCCCCATAATACACTCAATAAGCTGCCCAATTGTCATACGAGAGGGAATAGCATGTGGATTCACTATAATATCCGGGGTGATCCCTTCAATTGTCCATGGCATATCCTCCTGTGTGTAAGTCATGCCAACTGTTCCCTTCTGACCATGCCTACTACTGAACTTGTCTCCTATCTGGGGTATTCTAACAGATCTAACCCTCACTTTCACAAACCTCAAACCATCAGCATTTGTTGTCAGCAAAACCTTCAAAAGAATTAGGCAGTCAATAGAAAAACAAATAATTCATCAAAGAAAATGAAAATACACTGCAATTAGTACACCTTTTATAACAGTAATATGATAGTATCATTAAACAGTCAAATACAGCCCAATCCCATCAACTTGCAATAATAATGCTAAGCAGATAAACCTACCTGATCAACTATGCCAGTTTCACTATGACGTAAGCTTATGCTATGATCACGTCTTGTATAGCGTGAAGCTTGGCCTTGAGCTTCATCTTGAGAAATAGGTGTAGTCTTACCAATTATCACGTCCTCCCCTGAAACTCTTGTTCCCTAATAGACATGGTGCAGTCTCGAATTAATAAATTCAGGGCAAACAGGAAAGAATGTCAACACGACACATGCTAATATATGTACTCACAGGAGGTGCAAGACCATCATCATCCAACTTATCATAAGATCCATGACGCATGCCCTGCAAAAGAGAATCTTAGCTAAATGTTGAAAATCTAGAAAGGCACTGAAGGAGAAGAAAAATAAAAACAATAATAATCACAACCCACCATGGTATTAGCCCTGTCTGGACGACCAAAATCTTCTTTGACAAGAGTTCCCATCTTTTTCTCCTCATCTCTATGGGAAGGTAATTAACAACGAAGAATTACAGTGAAAAATATAAGCAGATGGACCGCGTTCAGAAGGATATGGAACAAAATAATATGCTACATGTTACCTGTATGAACGGAAGAAAAGGGATCGAAAGAATCCACGATCTATTGATGATTGGTTCATAATCACAGAATCTTCTTGGTTGTACCCAGAATAGCATGCAATGGCAACAATAGCATTCTAAAGAACAAAAAAAGACACCATAAGGATCTAAAAAGTAAAAGTGGAAGAGGCTTAAAAATAAGTATGCAGATTTTGATACCCACAATGCCAGCAGGAAGTTGCCTAAAATGGAGGTGCTCCATAGCTCTAGTTGTAACAAGTGGTTTTTGAGGATAATAGAGAACATAGGCCAACGTATCCTGCACAAGGTAAAGATGAAAAAAAAACCTTTTTTAGGCACAACAAACAAGGAAGGATGAATTTATATTCAATAAATTGATAAACAAAAGCATACCATTCGAAACTGGTAATTGGTGACATATATTCCCATGGCTTGCTTACCCATAGCAGATTGATATGTATTACGTGGAGACTAATTACAAAGAGAAATAAATTAGATCAAGAAAAAACATATATGAACATGGTTAATCAGATAAAGCCAACCAGTGTTATGAACTTACCTGATTGTGGTCAGGAAATGGTATAATTGAGGCACAAACTCCCAAAATCAACGATGGGTGGATCTCACAATGAGTGTAAGTGTCAGAATAAGCATCTTCTGGGTTAATCCTTGCTTGCACTAGATCCTAAAAGAATTATAGCAGTTAATTTAAATCAGTGTAAGTTCTCTAAGCCTCTGAGGTTAAGCTAGATGTGCTTCTTTCATTCAAAGCTACATTTACTAACACTGATGGTCATGGAAATCATTGTGGTCTCTTCTTCCTCAGTGTCAATGTATTCTATATATCCCTTTGCTACAAGATCATGCCAGCCACCATCTTCTGGGCTTTCCTGAAAGAGTAAGACAAATGTTTCTATCATTTTCTTCCTGTGGGAAGGAAATTAAAAGAAGTCCAAGATTAGTTGTTCTCACCCTCTGCTGCAGTGCATGGATATCTTTCTTCTTTATGAGAAGCCTTTGCTTCTCCACAATGAATAAAGGACGACTACAACGACCATAATCAGTATATATTCGCAGTTCTTTGAGACGGATATCTCTAACAACTCCAACTTCAGTGTTAACGTCAACCTGTATGCGAAAAGAACAATGGCCATCAGGTATATCGTAAACATTTTTCTGGTAAGTAATAATAATTTTTTTAAGCTAGAATCAAACACGTGAAGTCTGCAGCATGAATTTCCTATTAATTTCTGGCTGCACCATCAGTGGTGATTATTTAATACCCTAAATCAGACAATCGTGAGAACACAGAGACACAAATTTGAATTCTCATTACTCTCTCATTTTTGCATGAAATTTTAAGGGAGACACAAATTCTGAAAATCAGGAACAAGAGGAACGTGAATTGGGAGAACCATAGTGACATCTAAGATCTATCAGCTGAGACTTAAAATTTGAAATTCTCATCTTCACTGACAGGCTTAAGTGCTTCCCTAAACTGATCTAAACTCTAGTCTTTCAGTTGTCCAATCAGTCACCATTTTGTTAAAAGTATTAAATCTTTGTACATTTCCTAGAAAATATTACTGGCTAATGAAAAGGAGAGAACACGACTTCATCCATCTCACATGCTAAGACCATATAAGACAAATAAAACACAAGGACATACAAGTGCAATGAAGATGAAACCTGTACTGAAACATTTGAGAAATATCCACCAGAGAGCACCAGCAACTTAAAACTCGAGCTGATATTGAGCACTAATTGAAAAAAAATAACAATATGCATACTTACCCGTCTCCTTAGCCGTCTCAATGTCTTCACCAACATATCAGGATCACGATGGATGCCAACCCAGCAACCATTAACAAAAATTTTTGTTGCTTGGGGAATAACAGCAGGAGAAATTTCCTAAAAAACAGAAATATCAGGCAAATGGCTAAGAAGGCAAATAAAGAACTTTCATAGGCAGAAACATCAAGCAAATGGCTAAGAAGGCAAATAAAGAACTTTCGTAGGCACATTGTACTACCTCAAAATTCTCTGTACCCCATTCCTCCAAAAATTCCAAGATAGGATACGCAGCTGATCCAACTGTGATGTAGACCATCAAAGCGAGATTCTTAACCAGCCCACATGCCTGATTTATTGTCAACAAGTCAAGGTCATGAGTGTGATAAAGTATAATTCAAAAGTCATAAGAAACCTGACTAAGGATGTGCCCAAGCCCCTTAAGCTCAGGAACATACTCCTCTTCCTGACATGAGGCTTTCAATCAGGGGTTCCATCCCCACGTTACTCAAAAGACATGGCTAATAGATAAAGTACTCACTTGTCCTTCAGGTGTTTCAGCCGGACACATCATCCCCCACTGAGAATTATGCAACTGTCGTGGTTTGGCAAGCTTCCCTGGTAAAGGAATGTTAATAAAGAGAGAGAAAAAAAGAAAAAAGAGGGGGGGTACCAGGAAAGCAGCAAAAAGATAAAGATCAAAAGGGGAGCATTATTTCTACATTTGTCACTTTTTTTTTTTTGGAAATAGAAGTGTAACGTAGTATATATTATAAACAAATGGTATCAAAGGGGTACCATCTATGTATAAAAAATATTTCCATGTCAAACAAGTGGTCAATGACATTCCCAAAATCATCTAAATCATTGATGTCATAACCCAAAATCATAAAATTAAAAGTATGAAACCATCTATTCTAATGTTAACAAAATAAATTAAATCAAGCAGTTTTACCTTCTCGGCCAATAGGGGAGTTTAGTCTGCGCAAATGTGACAACGTCGACGCATATGTTAAACGATTTAACACCTGCGATTTTGTTTTGTGAACAATTATTACAAAGATTATTACAAAGATTGCCACAGAAAGTGATGCTTGGGAGATTTAGCAACCTATGAACTACAAGAGAAGAGACAAAATTCATACTAACACTAGAGGAAACTGTAATCACAAGTCAAACCTGTGACACTCCTGCTCTTGTTCCAGCTGCATTTGCTTGGCCCCAGTTCCCAGTGGCAAGTGAATATTTAAGGCCACTAGTTATGGTTTTTGCTTTGATAGCAAATTGCAGGTTAACATCCTTTCCATTGTCAACACACTGAACCAAGCATGGATGAGAGGTTTAAGGTTAAATCCCACAAAAGAAACAGTAACAACTAGAAGAAAAGAATTATATGAGAAAACCTTCTGAACATAAGCTCGCACATCCCTTGTTAACTTTCTGAAAAGCTGCATTCATATAAATTATAATCAGGCATTAGAAAGGCCATAATCAACAACAATAAAAAAAATCCCAATTCCAGTAATAATTTCACTAAAGACGAACCATTCTAAATAGACCTCCAAGTAGAGGACCAGCCAGGTCTAGCCTCTTGTTGCCGTAATGATCCCTATCATCTTCCGCCCTCCGACCAAGTGCACAAAGAAGAAGCCGGTGAATAATATACCTGAAAATCACAGAAATAAAACCCTTTAGCAATCTAGAAACCTAATTCAAGTGAATATCAAAAGGGAGAAACATACCCAAAATAATAAGCTTTCTTTGTCTCACAAAAATCCCCAGTACCAACATGAGGTAGCATTTCCTTTTGAAGGATCTCTTTAGCATACCTGTCAAGATCATGCAGACATGATTCTGCATATGTACCTCAAAATTTGATATTCTAATTTTATCCAAGTAGATACTCAAAAGGTTACATACTTAATCCTCTTTTCCCTAGTAACACCAACAGTTGCTCCTCTTTTTCCGATATAGTCAAGAGCAACCTACACCAGCCAGCCATGTCAACAAGGCTCATTAAGAAACATTAGAAGTAAAAAAGAAATGGTTGAGTAGAAATTGCAGGCAAGGCAGCCAACATAAAATATGGTGCAATACATATAAAATACTTCAAGAAGGAAATAAAATTAGGCCCTTATTTTTCTCAAGATAAACTGTTTGATTCTTTCTTCTTTTACAAAAAGTCATTTGACAAGCATCAATTCGAAAGCATCAGATGAAAACAATGAAGTATAATAATGAAACATGAAATCATATAAATAGACAGCAAGCAATCAATAGCAATTGACATGTTATAATGGAAAGCCATAAATAGGCATAAGAAATAGAAGAGAAAACGGAAAGCCATTAATTGAAGTCAAGCTGGAGTCTTGAAGAAACAAGACCTAATCAGGATTGGGAACAGAGCTAACAATATCTAGAGAGAAGATATGCCTAAATAAAGTTACCTGTTGATTTTGAATAACGAATGCTTCTTCCAATGATGGTCGAAGCAACTCCATCATTTGAGTATCAGAGAAATCATAGCATATGTGCTCTAATATATCCTTGTCAGCAACAAACCCCAAAGCTCGGAACACAATAATAATGGGGATTTCAGTTCGAATATATGGAAGTGTAGCACGTATATATTGCCCTGACGAACCCTGGATCAAATAACCACAAGAAACTAGACCTATAAATGCCCCATGCCGCTTTCAGAACATTAAGCAAAAAGAAAAGGAAAAAAAAAAGAAAATAAACTAATAGTGTTCAGATAGAAACTAGTTACAAAAAGACAAGCTTTTCCAGAGGAAAGAGAAATGAAACGTGTTTCCTTCATTTAGGTAACTAACAACTTAGACAGAAAGGAAATGAGAGGCTGGTTGAGATTTTCTTTATGTTCCTTTTCATCATTTAAAAAAAAAGAAATGATAGATTATGACCAATATTTTAATTATATTCTTTGTTAATAGAACAAAAGATCAAACATTGAGGATAGGATAAAAAAATTTATCATCAAAATCTTTTGATTCATTTCCTTTATGCTCCTTTTCTCCCAGTTTGGGAGAATGTGAAAATGGATGTCTAAAGGAAAGTCCAAAGGAACGGTTGTCAATCTCTTCCTTTCCCTTTTTCCAGTATTTTTAATCCAAACAAGGAATATTATGATTCATTACCCCTTACTCCCCTCAACTTAAGCATAGAGTACATGCAATATAGAAGACTTCCAAACACAACAATTAATTTTTATTACCCCTCTGGCACTTGTCCGAGAAAGCATGCGCACAAACATTGTACTAGGTGGCCGGTTCTGGGACTCTGCCATTGAGCGAACTTCAGCCACATAGGCATATTTGTTAGGCTGCCTCTTTTTGAAAACATAGACATGATTGGTGCTCATCTTCTCTTGAGCTATGAGGACTTTTTCACTCCCATTAATAATAAAATAGCCACCTTGATCATATGGACACTCCCCAAGTTCGGTCAAATCTTTTTCTGAATTCTGAAAAAGCGTGCAATAACTTGAACGCAGCATAATTGGCACCTAATCATACACACAAGGAAGAAGGAAGTGCTTGAATACCACAATTATATTCATTCATTGAACAATCAATTCATTGGTAAGAGTTAATCAGATACTTTCCCAATGAAAACTTTGGTGAAATCCTGAGTTTCAGTTACTTCTTCACCATCATGCCCTTTCTTTATAACCCTCTTTGTGACATCCACGTACAAGGGAGCTGAATAAGTGAGATTCCTCAACCTAGCAGCCTTAGGAAACAAGGTTGCAGTTTCTCCATCAGACTCCGTCATCATTGGCTTACTTAAGTATATCTGACCGAAGCTGATCTTATAGATAGTCTGCAGGTAAAAGTAGCTCCCAAAATTAAAGAACAAAACCATGCAAATTATTTAGCTTCATTCAGCAACTAAGAAAGGGAAGAATGAAGACCACTCCACTAAACCTACAGCCATAATGATATAAATTCAATCTACATAATCATTTTTTCCTTCTTCAGACTCCTCTTATACAGATATCCTGAATAACCATATTACATCAATTACTCATATTATCTAAACAAAATATAATTCAAATGCCTATTATAACTCACTATCATTAAACAGCCAAAACCAGCAGTTAATTTAGCTAAACAAAGCCTAAAAGAATCAAGTCATTTTGGCCAAAAAGAAAAAAAAAAAGGACTGCACCGTAACAGCATTGAATTAAACCGGAGTGGAGCCCAGCTCATCAAAACAGAGCCAGGATAAAATGAATATTGACTACCAGTTCAGTAAGGACGAGTTCAAACTTTAAAAGCTTCCAATTATCAACGATAAATGCCTAAACTAAAATCCTTATGGTTCCATTTCTTTTAAGAAGATGCAATTCCAGTAAAATACCTCCCAATCAAGTTTAAGCCAGTCTGTCAATTGACCACAGGAACAAAATAAAAACTTCACAACATACTACAAACCTTAGCCCAAGCCTATCATATTACAAGTATTTATTTTTTTGAAAGAAAAAGTTAAAATTATATTAGAATGGCACCAAGGGGTGTACTGCTCGTATACACAGGAATTTACAGTGAATAAGGGTATCAATGACATCTCTAAAATCTTCATCTCTAATGATGTCATTCGCCAATGAAAAAGACCCAAAATATTTAAACCACCTATCTCTAAGTTTGTATCTATCTACTTCTACTCCCTCAAAGGCTCTATAATACCTCTCTTTCCAAATGACTCAAAAAATAGTCAAAGGACTAATCTTTACAATATTTTTTGTAGAGTGAATCCCACCCAAAGCCCAAACTTCAGCCAGCACGGAACCCGAAGAGACCCACAGAATACCCAATAAGTTATATACCATATTACAAGTACACGTCCCTTGAAGAACTAATTTCAAACTCAAAGCCATACCATTGAGTCACCGGCTTTTAATAGTCAAAGAAAGTAAAACTCAAGACTTCTTTTCTTTCGGTAACAAGATTTCAGAGCAAGCTTTCTTGATAAGAACTAAGAAGCGTGTGTTTGTACAGCAAATTAACTGTGAAATTGCAAGGAACCAATAAGCTAAAACAACAAAGATGTCCCACATATTACCCTTACGAGAAGAAACCAACCAGCTAAAACAATTCAAAACCTTTAGAGGATATAAACCCTAAAGAACCCCTAGAAAGAGCAATTAGCCAGGCTCTCAAAATCAAGCTTCAATTTTTTTCAACCCTAAACAGCTTCGCTGGTTCCCTCTATTGAAAACGAGAAAACCAAAACACACCTCGGCAAAATCGGACTGGTGACCGGGGTTGTGCTGCGACTCGGGGCGAATCTCGATATCGGCCGATTCATCAACAATTTCCTGCATGGTATTCTGGATGAACTCGTCGAAGGAGTCAAGCTGTTGCCGCACCAAACCTTTATCCTCGAAGTAGGACGAGATAACCGCCCAGGCATCCTCTTGGGTGATCTCCTCATCATCCTCTTCCTCGTACTGTTGGTCGTATTCCTGATCGTCCTCCATCATTGAGATTATGAGATTAACAAGAAGGAAAACCCTTCCCCCAATAAATTTTAGGTTTTCGCTTTAAGGAGCTACAGAGAGCAGTAGTAGAAGTTGAGGTTTGTCTGCTGCGGAATGAGAGAGGGAGCGGTGTTCTTTCCTTTTATTTTGAACAAAAATAAATAAGGAGCCCGGTGGCGGTTTGGCCGTGAGGGATTCGCCGGGACCCAATTCCGTCCGGTTCGGAGTTTAAACCGACCCGGTTTTGTATTTTAGTTTTATTTTTATTTTAAAATAACTTATAATTTAGTTGGATAGAATTAATTGAAAAGACTCCAATGAATAATGATTAAATTCTGTTATTTGGTTTATAATTATAATTTTTATATTTGAAATTTTAGTATACGAAATCTATCTTTGTAATTATTATTATTATTATTTTAAATATACATATAAATAACACGTTTTTAATTTAAATAATAATTTCTTTAGCGTGAATTCTAAATAGCTTGCATATCCTGGCCCAAATTCAATCTGGGCGCAACCCGGCCTGCATATCTACCGCTCTCCAAACGACGTCGTTTGCTATTTTCCCTGGTTCTTTTTACTTCCAATTTTCAGAGAGAAGTAGAGGAAGACATTACGGAGCTTCAAGAGAAAAGCGTAGAGCGAGAAGCAAGAGAGGTACAGACTTGCAGCAGAGAAAGAGGAGAGACAGAGCAAAGTGACAAAACCAGAGAAGAGCAGGCTTGCATGCTACAACCTGAGGCAAGGACAATTCATCGTTGAAGCTGTCGCGGTGAGGACGTTGCTGGAGGCGTGTGATTCATCTGTAGCAACCACCACGCCATTGCTTCTAGCTGGATGAGGGAGACTCAGGGACGGCGGGGACTGAAGACGAAAACACTATAAAGGAAGGGAATCTGGCGCGATTTGGAGAGAGGGGAAAATCAAGTGCAAGAGGGAATAGGAAGAACAGAGGGAGCTGGGCGAAGAAGCAGAACATAGAAAAGAATTGAGAGGGGGAGAAGCAGATTAAACAGTGCAAGCGGAGAGCAAAAGAGGGTGCAAGAGGATTTTTTTTTTTTGGGAGCCAGTGTTTTTAAGATTCACATGGGTAAAATCTTCTCTTTTTCTTCTTTAAATTTGTTTGAATACACTTGATAATGAATGAGATGTCAATTTGACTTTTTTTTTCAATATGGATAAGCGAATATGTTTGACAAACGTTGAAGCATGGCATCTGACTTTGCTCTTGAGCTTCGTTCTTTGCTCTATAAATCTGTTTACTTAAATGGTTCTCAGGAAACTTTAATGTATCAAAATTTTGTATTTTAAATACTTGAATGTCAGCTGGGTGTTCTTTTGCAGTGAAACTCCCAGAGCCATGTATTATGTATCTTTGCAATTATTCCGTACTGGTTTTTACCTTTTTACCCACCACTTCACTGCACCCTCAATGAGATTTTGCCAGTTGAAGCATGCTCTTTGGTCGTTTTGATAACTAGAAAGGTTATAAAGGTTCCTCTATTGGAATGATTCTCATACGTTTATTGTGTTCGGATGAATAGAGGAAGGATACTCTTTTTGCTAAATCAGGTTACAAATTTCCTAGGTGAGCTCTGATTGTAATTAGAAAATGAACATTGAGGTTATATGCCAGGTTACTTTGGTTATATTGGAAAGTGGAAGCTTGGGAGGGGTAATATCATTAACTTTTGGTGAGATGAGTGGACTTGGAGGGGTAATCTTAGGGACCAATTCCCAAGAATGTATGCTTTAACCATTAGGAAGAATGTGGTGGTGGAAGAGGTATTTGGAGGGCTGGATGGGAGGAGTGGGTGGGACATAAATTTAGAACTCTTAATGATTGGGAGGTTGATGAGTTTTCTTGACTCCTTCAAGTTCTGGCTAATGTGCGTATGGAAGCTTTTAAGGATAAGGCTATGTGGAAGTTAAAGAAAGATGGTATCTTTACAGTTAAGTCCTTCTATGACTATTTGGCCAGCAGTGAGTGATATGGTGTGAAATTTCCTGACCTGCAGATTTGGAAAGTGAAGGCGCCACCGAGAATTGTTTTCTTTGCTTGGGAAGCAGGTTGAGAATGCATACTCACCATTGACAAGTTGATGTAAGGGGGCCACATTATGGTTAATGGTTGTTATTTATGCATGGAGGCAACCGAATCTTGCAACCATCTCCTTCTTTGGTGCCCAGTGACTTATAGTTCAGGGAATATGGTGTATAACTTACTGGGTATCAATTAGATGATTGAGGGTTTGGTGAAAAAATGAACTTTGGACTTGGGGTGGGATTGGCAAAAAGTCAAAAATTATAAAACTCATTCCTTTAACTATTTTATGGGTGATGTGTAAAAAGAGGAACAACAAAGCGTTTGATGGGTGTGTGAGGGATATTAGTAGAATTAGAGATAGTGAATACATACTTTTGAGGCTCTAATTTTTGGTCATGATGTATATGGGTAGGATGATGTTGGGAAAATCTTTGATGTTTAACTGACATGTAAATATTTTGTATAGGGGCAGCAACCCCTTGGTGCCATATACTTAATAAACTTGATTTTTATCTCAAAAAAAAAAAAGTATTGGGTTAGTTCTAGGTCGTGCAGTGGCTATGTCAAAGTAGAGGAATTTTTTCGTCCAGGGTTTGGCCGAGTTTCATTACTTTGCATTTCAGCCATTTTTGCTGCAATGGGTGTGACCATTTAAATTCTGTTGGAATGATGGGTTGATTCAATACCTATGATAGGATACCATGTATTCAGATAAATTCTTAAGCTAGTTGAGATTCTTTTTGTGAAACTTCTTGGTCTTAATTCATGTTTTATTTCAAGATGCATTTTATGTCTTTATGTTCTTTAGAGATTTGGATGAGGTCTAAAAATTCCATGTGACTTGAATTTGGGAGATCGAGATCCTGCTTCTAGAAGCAGAAGACAGAACACTAAAGTGGAGAGGGCTGTTTTGGATAGGTTTCAATGTATAGAAACCATCTCTTAGCTTTGGCATGCATGATCTTTTGAGTTCAGGTACTTGGTCGTTTGGGCATTCAAATTAAACCATTTACTTTCTTACTGGAGGATGCAAAACTGGAGAGGTTAGGTTGGTTAAGATATATGTTCACATGTCTAAACTTCAGCACTTATATGAGGCATCTTCCGAACCTTTGACCTGTTAAGTGAAAAGAGTGGATAATGTCTGTTCTGTGACCTTGAGCTGGCTATTTAATCCATTCCCAAGATATCTTACATGTGAATAGTGCTGTCTAGGGTTGCTTCTTCTTTTCATTTGTTATTTTTAGCCCTTTTTAATTATTGATCTTATTATTAGAAGAAACTATTTTGTCATGTAACGTTAATAACTCCCAGTTACGGTAAATGAAATGATTCGAGAAGAACTTATGTCTTCATTCCACTATTTTCTATCTCTTTATTTATTTTCTTTTTTCAATTTTGCACCTGCAGATTTTAGAGCTAAAAAATCCTTCTACTACTTTTGTGACTGGAATTTTCAATTATATTCCTTTCTGTGAAGTGCATCAATAAATTTTCTTTTTCTATTTAATTGTGGGGTAGTTAGAAAATTGCAGTGGCTGTAGGCATATACTTCCACTGTACTAATGATTGTGCGGATCACTTTGTAATATTTGCATGGATGCAGAAATGGCACAAATGGTTTGTGGTTCTTGCCGGCAATTACTTTCATATCCACGGGGAACAAGACATGTTCAATGTTCATGCTGCGAAACTGTTAATTATGTATTAGAAGGTTCCTCCCTTATCTTATAATGCTACCTAAATCTGATTATCAATCTCTCATAATTATCAGTTACTATTTGCTTAAAATGCTTCATTCTTGGAAATATGAAGTGCCATTTCTATCAGATTGTTGGTTGCAATATTGATCTTCTTTGGGGCTCTGGAAGATTTTGAATCCCTTAGATAATTACTTTGATTTCTTTTACCAAAAAAGTCTATGGTTAAAATACTTGTAATGGTAATCAACCTACACCAACGAGTACAACAATAAGTCTGATTTTTTTCATTTGTCTCTACTGAACATTCATTTCATTGCGGCCAACTCAACAAGCAACAAGTACTGCTGGTGTAGTCCATTGACATTAAACAGGATAGATGCTCTTTCTATTGCCATATATGAGGGAAAAAAACCCCTTTTTATCAGGTAAGTTGCAATACTTAACTAAAATAAAATTGTTAGGTGGGACACCTAATCTAAGGTTGGTCTTTTGCAAATTTTCCAGTCTAAACGCCCAATTCCCATTATGTGATTAGTTTCCTTATGAACGAAATATGTGGTTCAACATGTTACTATTGCAACGCTTACTTGGTGATTCCTAATTATGGAGACTATATAATCTGAAGTAGATGCCAGGATGAGGAAATTCATGTTGTGTACTGCATATAATGAAATTTATACGATTGTAACATTCTTCACTTTGTTTACTTTTTTTTTCCTCGTTCGTGTTATGATTTTGCTAATTATATAAAAATTAACAAGCTATTATACATCTTCAGCTCATGAAGTTGGACAGGTTAAATGTGGGAGCTGTCAAGTGTTGCTGATGTATCCCTATGGTGCTCCATCAGTTAGATGTTCCTCTTGCTGTTATGTGACGGAAATTGGAGTATGTGAACTATCTTTTTGCTCTTCCATGTGTTTAGTAGGATGTTTATTTATATCTACTTATGTTTATTCAGTACAAATGTAGGGACAGTAAAAAGTTTTAGTTTTAAGAAATATTCGAGAGTCCTATTGTAAGAAATTTGATGTTCTGGAACCGAGAAGAGTATTGTTCCCTTTGTGTTGTAAATGATAGCTGTTGCGTA